TCCAGTAGGGAGAACCACCGCAGCAGCCACTGTCTCCGCTCTCCGACAGATATTTTCTCGTTTTGGTGTTACCCACATGTTGGTTTCGAACAATGGTACACAATTCACCTCCTCTGGGTTTGTTGTCTTCTGTTGCAGAAACGCGATTGTCCATGTAAAGTCTCCACCTTTCCACCCACAATCGAGCGGGCAAGTGGAACGATTTGTGGATACCCTCAAAAGAACTTTGCGAAAGATGAAGGCGGAAGGTATCTTGGAGGAGATTCTTGCCACATTTTTTCTGACGTATCGCACAACTCCCAATCCGCAGACACCAAACGTCCTATCTCCGGCTGAAACTTTGTTGCAAAGGAAAATCCGTGTGCCGCATGATGCCCTCAGACCCAGGAAGGATCAGTTACTGTCCCGCTACTATCAGATGGAGCGTCAATTCAACATCCGACTCGGTGCTCGGAAGCGAACCTTTAATGTTGGTCAACAAGTTCTGGAGAGAAATTATCGCATCCACTATCCTAAATGGGCTATGGGCCATATGCTATACAAACGTGGTAACGTGATCTACGGTATCCAGGTTGGGACGGCAATTTGGGTAAGACATGCCAATCAGCTGCTAGAGGCACGGACTGGCGAACAAGTGCAACAACAAGTACCAGCAGCGCAGTTACCTCTGGACATACTGGCCGACGCGGGTGAAGCGAAGACTCCCCAACATGCCCCAACACAGCAAGCACAACATTCGCCCCGAAACCTAGCAGCACGGAGGCAGAAGCGGCGACGCAAATTCGTGTCACTCATGCAAGTCAACCCCAAGATGAAATCGTACAACACAACACAAAGGGGGGAAGTGTTAGGAAGGAATACGCGAGTTGAACAAGCCAGGACCACATCACCGCGGCCGGCGATCCAAACTCATCCGCCCTGATTGGGGCGAACAGAAAACCAACCAGGACAAGCGGCCAATGAACGATAGGTCGAAGTTCTTTTATTGGCTGTAAGTTAACCCTTCCTGAATTTTCCACGGTCGCTTTATATACTATTCACGAACTTTCCATTTTACCCTTATATTGAACGGTGTGATTTGCTAATTCATTCCTGTTGCTCTGCTCGTCCGATCCGGTCTTCTTTCTGTCCTGTGGGAGGCCAGCGAATTCGGGTTTGATTGGGAATCAAGCGTCCATTCAGGCGAGGGACGAACACTTTACCGATGTAACACTACAAAGCGTTTGGGAACCTTAGCCACGCCTATCACACCGGAATTTTCAACAAAAAAACCAGGTCAGGACCCGAGATAACGGCGCTATTTGTATCAAAATACGCACTTGACTTAACGATTTCCAAACTCAAAAGTATGGCAACAATTCGCGCTCAGATCCACGAGCGACCCGTGACTTCAGGTGTGCGAAAGAACACAGTGGAGTCAAAGTGAGACATACAAGGATTATGGTAAGAATCCAAATGAACCAATGGTTACAGGTATGGGTCCGCCAATGTAAAGTGCTGCGGCAAGATGTAGTACGCCTAGCTTTAAAAATTGTGAAAGTCACACAAATCGATAAACGCACGGGGAACAGTGCCAGGTCAATAAGGCTTAACATAAGGGTACTTGTGCGGAGGAGGAAGGTAGGAAGTGGATGAACTGAAATCGGACGATAAGTCACACAGTAAGGGCATCATGATAGATAGTGTTGGAACAGAAAATGGACAAGTGGATAGGAACACGAATGAGCCGTGCCGGGCGATGAGGCTTACCAACGTAGAAGTAGGCATTTGATGGGGGTGAGTCTTGGATGGTCGCAAATTCGTTCTACACCCGAGCTTCCGGTTTCTCCTGATCGCAAGGAGCAAACACATAACGGAGAGCAGAGGTGCAACATTTACGAAGCAGACACTCTGGAGAATGTTATTGCCAAGTCATTGACAAAAATTCCTTTGTCACCTAACTAAAAGATCAGCGGCTGAAGATCAATGAAAGTGGTGCTACACTCCAAAGGAATTATACGAGTTCTATTGGATAACTGGTCGAATTTTCGTACCAGTTTCCCAACCGAGATCCGGCTACAGGCAGCAGGCGCACGGCCACGATGGGTCAGAAATTCGATGAAATTTGCAAACACAGTGAATTTTTTGTCTCGTCCTGGGAAGAGACCGACACAACAGCACACACGGCGCACAACAGGACAGAGCGAAGCACGAGTGAGCCTTCCGAACTGCAACACTCGGCGAGGGCATGCAGCTTGACTGAAAATTATAAACCGACGAGCAACCAAACAAACGATTAAATGCCGACCACCTAATGGTGGGTTTAAAAATAAACATACGTTTGACACTAATCAACGAAGTTCTAGCAAACCAAAACACTATGCTGTTTGTACACTTGCGCCAAATGCCTCCGTAGCAAGTTGGCCGAACTTAGAGAATTCCATGCGTCACAACCGCCGGACTTAGTCATGATTACAGACTTCGTCAAACCTTGAGATAACCGATTCTGAGACCAATTTACAAGGTGTGTCATTGCTTCTGAACTATGGAACAGGAAGGTGTGATATAGTAATTATTTATTATAATGCAAACTTCCAAAGTGAAGTTATCAATAACCAGGAAATCCGCGTCTCTGATTCGCTTTGGCTGCGAAACAAGGACACGTCTACAAGCCACAATATACCGTCCATCAAACTCTATGTGGGATCTCGACTCTAAAGGAACCACATTTTTAGGTTGTATTGAACAACACCTACAGATACATTCTTATCCCTGGAGACTCTCATGTGCACGACATAGAAACACCAGCAACCGACGGTGAATATTTTAAAGCCTGTACAACCACGCAACCTCCCCGCCAGATTCCAAACTGTTAAAATGCTGTTGATGCTAGATTATGTGCTCACCAACAAAGAACTCATGGTCGTCCGGAAAGTTACAAGCACAACACCAGGTCGCAGTGACCTTGTTACTACTGCTTGACAGTGTACACCATACGTGATATCCTGAAATGGAAGACAACGAAGCATATACTGCCACGCATATCAATCTGTTATCCGTGCTTGTTAAGGATAAAGCTTGAACCTTCTTAACCCAGAAATTGCATGGAAAACGTTTACGAAGACGCTTAACAAGCTGGTAGCGTACGAGCCACAACAGAAATCCATTCATCTTCAAATCAAAAGCAAGTCATTTCTGAGGGGCAGTACACGTAAATGTATGTCCCTGAGGGATTTGGCACGGAGAGCTCACAGGTGCTGCCCGAATGTCGACACCTGGACTGCATGCGTTGCAAAACGCAACTTTGTGTAAAACTGATCGGCGAAAACAAGATCACGCATCAGCAGGAGTTGAGAAAGCGATTCTGCACGGAACGTAAACTCCTATACATACACGTTAATGGCCTTTGTGAAGTGAATCCTAGCACTGATCACGGCTGATGAGTGCACGCAGTCAGCAATGGGAGCAGCTGATAGCTTAGGGCTTCATTAATCCCATACTTTCCAGCGGATAACGAGTCCAGACATTCTTCTCGTATCTTTTACTCCACCATCAGGTTTGTCCAACGTCGCACAGCGAAAGCAGTGCAAAAGGAGTTGCTATACCTGCGTATCCACAGTACTCCTGGATTCGATAACATTCGGCCGAAGGCTCTGCAGGCAGTAGCTAGTGATTTAGCGGAACCACTATCCGTTTGCTATCCGTGATGCTCAAAGGAGAAACAAACTCCACCTATATGGAAGCAAGGGGTCATCACTCCTATTAAAAAAGGAGATAGCCGCACTGACTCTACGAATTATCGTCCAATAACGTTACTTCCTGTGCTTTCCAAAGTTATGAGGTCAAACATCGCGGATGCGCTGATACAGTACCTGGAAAGCCACAAATTAATAACCCCAGAGCAACATGCCTTCCGTCAACAACACTCATGTGCTACTAACCTATTAATTACACGTAACAGCTGGACTGAAGTAATTGAGGGTGGATAAGGGGTCGATGTCATCTAATTGGATTTCTCAAAAGCGTTTGATCACAAATCCGCGAATTTTCCTATATAAACGTCAGATCTATGGCGTGGTGACCCATTCCTGCTTTGGATAGGAAATTTCCTACACGAACGTCAGTTGAAGGTGACAGTCCGGGAATCGCTGACGCAATTGAAGTAGAGTGCGGTGTGCCGCAAGGTTCGGTGCCGGTGCCCCGTCTATTCTTAGTTTTCATGAATGATCTAGCGAGGTTTATTATTTCCGATTTTCTATTCTTCGTAGATGATCTCAAGATTTGGCGAGTGATCAGGGAACCGGACGACCACGAAAAGCTCCAGCGCGACCACAACACGATTCGAACTGGCCAGTTCGAAATACCCTGTTAGTCAATGTAGACAAACCTCACGTTGGATAATTACGTCGACATGATTACACGTATTCGCTTGGGGCAAAGATTACAGACAACCTTCCAGGAACGTGATCTTGGTGTGCTCGTACAGAGTGACCTCAACAGTTCAAAATAGCCTGAGGCAGCGGCGAAAAGGGGCAACCAGCACGTTGGGCTGCTGCGAAAAGCATTCGGGAGATTTGACCCATCAATCTTTAAAATAATGCACAATTCTTACGTGAGCCCTCACGTTGAATACGCCAGCCAAGCTTGGTAACCTTGGTTGAAGCATGACCTAGAGGCGCCACAAAGAAGGGCAAGAAATAAGTCAAGACCTACGCAATCACTTATCTGCAAAGACTGAAGTTGCTGGAAGTTTTCAGCGGACACTACTGAAGACTGCGAGGCGATGGCATACTTGTGTGCCAAATATTGAGCGACCGCAACCACGTATGTTGCCATTTGGTGAAACTTGTCTACAGCACCAAACTCGAAGGCAACTGTTTTAAGTTGAGTGAACAGTACAGCCATTTATTGTGTCTATGGAATTACTTTTTCTTTCGGGTTTGCCAATCCTGGAACTCTCTCCAAAACTCAGTTGTATCCTCCGCTGCTTTGCGCACCCGGACGCTATAGAACTGCCGGCAAAACGAATTCCGTTAGTAGGTAACAGTATCAAATTTACATCTGTGATTTGGCAGGTGCGTTGCTTTGCAAGTTCAATACAGCCCAGTTGCAATGAAAGGTGACAAAAATGTCACGAATGTACAAAATTTACAGTCAATGGGCGGGGGCAATCAGCCGTACAATGTCGAGTGCCAGTACATAAATGTAAAAGCAAGGGAAATCTGTCAAATCGTATCGGTGCATAAGAATGCATCTTTACACAAAAGTAACTGCGAATTCCCAACTGAGGGTGAGGGTCATCGGTCGTCGGTATTTGTTAACTTGAACACCGTGGAGAAGATTTAAGTGAAGTCACCCTATTGCACTTCAAGTGGAGTGTGATGTTTTTATTCATGTTGAATAATAATTGTGACGTTTACTCAAGTTTTGTTGCAGGAGGGGTTAAGTACTTTCGGCTATCTGACAGTCCGTTTCATGTTTGGCCCTGGAGCAAAAGAAAATTGTTGTAAGCGAAAATGTAGTAAACAACCTGGTCATCGATAAGCATGAGAATAAGAAAAATGAAAATGGCAAATTCCCACATAAGGTATACATAATGCTTCTATTCTGCAAATGTATCCCTATCCCTTTAAGGTTGGTATGCATTGAAAAAATTGGTGGTGAACAAAATGGAGAAGCAGAAATTAACGGTTGAAAGATTTTATCGTTAAGAAAATGAAAAATGTGTTAAATTTCCGAAGCGCAAATGTTTTAATATCGATACCTTAAGATAGGTGGTCGGATAAACGGAAACAGAGCGGATGAGATCCAGATGAATGGAGCTGGAGGGGAACAAAGCTCCTGGTGGGTAATCAACCACAAATGCATGCAAAAGAATCTGCAATTTTCTTCACGAGGAATTTTACCACAACGTACGACTCCTGTAAAGGCATATGTGCATGTCGGCTAAGGCCCATGGGTACATTCGTTGACAAACAGCCATCTGGATTACAAACAAATGACGAGAAAGAATGGGGATGGCTTTATTCGTGCCACGTTAAATCGTAACTTAGTCACAGCTAAGTGGTTACAACACGCGTTCCACACGAATAACTAGCTTCAAGTTTTTCTAACAGTGATCTCCTTGTCCGAGAAGACTGAAGCGGCGCCAGTAAATACAGAATTGATGAAACGTTGCTACATTCATATAGCGCCAGAGTCTAAAGTGACAGCAAGACCTGTGGGACCACATCCAAGCCAGTACTTGACAGAACCGCAGTTCACCACATCAACGGTGTGCAGCCTACCCACTACTCTCATACGTGTAACATCTCAGGTCTCATCTATCAATCGAATGCCGAATAAAAGTCACAGCAGTCCTGATACTAAAAGCAGAGCACCCTTGGATAATACGAAGGGAAAGCGTGCAACATGCAAATCAAGAATATGGGTGTGATCGTGCGTGTGTCAGGGAATGATTCCAACAGAGAGCCAATGATGAAGCGCAAAAGCGGCATACAGAAATCTACTCGGCTGAGCGGGCGCGGGTGATGCGCATGGTATTTGTGCAAGAAAGTTTAATGAAACAGGCAAACGAAACCAAAACGGTACGAGAAACCGGGAACAAACTCTTGCGAGCCTTATGAACTTTGTGATTGGGTCAGCATGCGTGTAATCGACTTCAACTAACCAATGCACACTAACTGCACAGCTTACATTCTAATGTATAATAATTTTATTAACAGTATAGCCAGCGATAGTCGACATGTGTTGCGCATCTGAAACACACTGTCGTAGTAGATCTACCAACGGAACGGACCCGCAGAATTAAGAAATGCTTGAATTTAGACAACCAACCTGATAACATCCAGTTGTGCTTCAAAACAGCCCATTTCTCAACATGAGCAGTTAATAGGGATGGACAGAGTGAGAGTGATTGGCTAAACTACATGTAGAGTGTGCGGGAAACATCCATATCGTACGGAGCCGGAGGTGTGTTCATAGAAATCGAGAATTTCGAAATGGACCGAAGGTGTGTAAAAGGGGGAAAAGTATACATAGGAGCTCGAAACCCACGACGAAAGCAAAAACATGGAGGCCAGAATTCAGGGAAGGCATAAATGTTGCGAGATAAGTCAGTATGGTGAATCTGACAACACAAAGCCGCCTTTTTCAATCGCACCGTCAAGCAAGCCCATCGTAAGGTGAATTGTTTTGCGGAAGGCGCGCACCCGACTGGGTGAAGAGGTGGCAAAGGTTGGAAAGTGTATGAAGAAATTGACGTAAGTCGACTTTGCAGCAGGTCACATCGACAGTCAATGTCAACATCCGATACGACGTAGGATCGGATTCAGCGACTTCGTTGCAATTGTTTCGTTACAAACTACTGCCAACTTTACAATTCCACAATGGTGGTTCTTCCTTAAATAATTTGATAAGGGATTATTCACAGGTTGCATCCACTTTACCTCTTATTAAATCTTTCAGTTGTTAATCGTACCTTGCTACTTCAACTGCACTTCCACGCTCGGATTACAGTTTAATAGCAGAAGCAATCGGTCAGCTTGGTCAAACAAGGATGATCCGGGCACCAAAGTGCATGGGGTCCAGTTTCCACGAATCGCATCGCCAGCAGAAGAATGTAAGAGAGAAGCGATAAAAGTAGAATGGAACGCGGAAAGAACGCACAGAAGAGGAGTTACGAGGGGAGTAAGTGGAATTACTAAGGACGGGATGTTAACAACAAGCTGAATGCAGCAGCACAAATGAATGAAACTGCGATGCTGATGTAGACCATCCCGAGACTTCAGTCGAAGAGGAGTAAAAGCAGTCAGGGAAAAAAGTATCGCAACACGTTGGCCATTGGGTAAGGTTCCGGGCCATGTCCGATAGCTTAACCAACCAGATATGCTCACTGGCCGTGGGCCCCCAAACTGGGAGTCTAGAACGCTCCACCGGACCTAATTGAAATGTCGACGTCTTGACACCATAGACCCAGATTGCAAGTTGGCCACCTCTCCGTCCGCTTGCAACCAACGCAGGCGTATACAAACAAAGCACGGAGGAGGTGCCCGAACCACCGGAGCGCACGCAAAGAAATCATGCAGCTTGGTGATCAGCGGAAACTGTCTGATTTGAAGATTCGAAGTCGAACGTCATGAACGTACACCAGTGATCCTCCGGAGGTAACGGTGCTCAAAAACAGAGTCTATGGACATCGCTCGCTCGGACAGGTCAAATCTTGCAGCCATATAGGAGCACTACTCCTACTGTAACGTAGTAGACTCGACGTCGTAGAGAGAGGCTGAAATCACACCGGCGTCAGAGATGTCGAAGATTGGCAAAGGCTAATCTGGCTTCGGTGATGTGCAAATGGATCTCATCCGTTAATCCACTCACAATGATGAAACTCTTCGGGGTAAACGAACTTGTCGACTACTTTCAAAAGACAACCGGAGAGGGAAAGGGTAGGAGCAGTTTCTAACCAATCCTGGTGGAAAAACTTGCATTTGGAAGGAGCAACGTCATACTGAACCTGCGTAGCATGTTCTGGGTAGCCTGTGAGAAGTCACAGATTACGGCGATGTCGTCAGCATACTCCAAGTCATGGAGCCGATTACTCGGGAGTAACGACGCCAGCAGGCCCAGAGCTCCCTTTAAGATGTCGTCCACAGTAAAGTGATGCGAGGCATCCCTATCTCAGGCCACTAGTGATAATAAAGGGGCCGAAGGTCCGTTGTACACTCGCACCCGGCCCGAGTGTCAAGAATAAATGGCTTGAAGTATGTTACTATACCTCACGAACACCCCCCTTCTCAGCAGACAACTTCAAAGAGTACCAATATCAACTGAGTAAAATGTTACACATATGTCCAAGAAGCAAACGATGGTAGGCCAGCTGAAAGCACGACGGTGCTTAAGCATCTGGCGGATCGTAAAGATGTGATCAATACAGCCACAATCTTGACGAAACCCAGCCAGTTCTTCACGTATGTGCTGTTCGCGTACTTGTCTGAGTCTCCGTAAAAGCAGAGTTAGTATTTTGAACACAGAGCAGAGAAGGCTGATCCCTCTGTAGTTTGCGCAATCCGTTCGAACAATACTTTTGAAGATTGGCACGATGTCCCCCAGGCCCCAATCGGATTGGATGATTTCTGTGACCCGAATTCCTTGAAGGAGGGTAGTCAATTCAGAAAAGAGAGAAAGGCCCCCATCCCTAAAAAGAGCCGGATGCAGTTCGCGGGGGTCGGGAGATTTGTGGCGTTTCAAAAGTCGAAGCTCATAGGCAACTTTGCCTCAGATGGTGTAGAGGTGCTTACACACCAGGGAACACCGCGGATAGAAGAATGGCAACCCGAGGACAAATGATGGTCAGTTGAACTGTTGCTCAAAGTACTTCGCCCAACCTAAAAGTCGGCGCTGGTAATTGTGAATTGGTTTATCGCTGGATACACATACCACTTCGTTTACAGTTGGTTTCTTGCCACCGGTAGATCGGATAAGAGAAAAGAGTGCGGAAGTTCCCTGAGGATGCAGCATGTCCCGTCTCGATGACACGCCACGTCCCCCAGGCTTCGCGATCTTTCTTGAGGAGCTGTTTGAGTTCGGCATTGGTAACTCTGTGCAAGGAAATATACTCAGCATCAGCAGAAATTTTCCGGCAGTCTTCCATCAATGGAAGAGATTGAGGAGAAGTCCATCGGTTGAAGGTGCGCTTAGTGAAACCACAGATGACGCTGGCGGAATTATCACGGTACTCCGGATATGTGTCCCGTATGCCTGTGTGTTACCACAGACGATACAATGCGACGAAAGTTGCACAACCGGAATTAATCTTCACAACTGAGGTTGGCTCTTTCTACATGCCTCTGTGTTAACACTGTGGTGAGTTCACCAAAATGATTTTCATTTTATCACTGTATTCACCAGGTTGTGATTCTCATTCTGGCCATCCTACGGGATTGCTAAGCATCCATTTTTTTGTCTGTAATATACTTTTTCTACTGTTTCATAGCACCTGGGTCCGCAGCCTAGAAGTAACGAGCCTGTCTAGTGATCGTGCGGAGCGGATTCGAATCCGTATAGGGGTGGGCGTCCTCGCGGTATACTCAGCCCGCGTGCGCCTGATGGTAGTCGCACGACAGCGAAGCGCCGTTATGGCGTACAGCTGACACATTATTATTATTTATCACCTGGAAGTGGAGGTTTCAGAGTAGAAGGCTCTGAGAATATTTGCAGCGACAAGTCTGGCCGTTTCCGTTGAGGCCATTGGGTGCCACCAAAGCGGAGGACAAGTTTAGCACACACAAGTACGTCAGCAAAGATGAGTACTCCAAATTGATCTGCAGTCTGTTATACATCCTCGTCAACGGTAAGTGCTATCGATGTGGTCAACCTGCGTCCACAGCAGTCTAGACGAAGGAGGTCGCCAGGGGACGCGCTGGCGCCAGGAGCGCTGAAAGTTTATGCACAGAGCTGTACAACTGGTTATCCGTCCTGCCATGCAGACGACCGAGTTTGCGTTCGTCAGCATCGATCTTACCAAGCTGTGCGTTTGTCCCCAGCGAGCACCACGATATACGTGCAGCGTTTCTTATGCAGAAGATCGGAGAGCTGATGGTAGAAGTTATTTTTAACTGCAATCCGTGGGAGCATACGCCGCTACGACAAACAAATGGCATTCGATAGTCTGGCGGTTGGACAGTCGTACAGAAGTTGCTAGCCAAATGGCACACAGCTGGTTATTGACTGGGGTTCAAACAAGTAGCGCAGCTTCTGCGCGCGGGAATAACGCAATTCCCACACCGACCAAGCCCGCGGATTCAGTAGTTGCGTCCCTGAATAAGCGTAGTGTGAACAGGTAAAGTCAATCGTACGGTTGTGCTGAAGTTCTGCACTCGGGTCTCAGTCGCGCAACATATGTTGACGGAGAGGGTTTACAGAATTCCAGCAATGGCTGTCTGCGACCCTATCTGCATGAGCGTCCGCACATTGAATTGTGAACAGGAGGCGGTTGCATGGTGCACATCAGTCCGACAAGGCGTTTCAGTCAAATTGGCCGTACATTTATGCCGTGCCATCGGCTGGCCAAGTTACGACTTTTCCAAACTAAGTACAGTGACGGTATAGAATGCACGCCAACGAAGCAAGTTAGCAGATAAAAGGAGAATGTAAAATAGCGAGACCAATGAGTAAAACAGTGGGCACCTTGGATACACAAAATATGAACGGATGGCAAAACATGAAAACGCCGAAATACAATTTTTTTTGAATGTCGTACAACCATCAGCATTAGAAAGAACCCCGTAAACTCACCTCAGTTGAGCCTTAGGCTTCAGGTAGTCGTCGTTGCAAATTTGAAAAACATCAGGGCGCAAATCTTTTTCGTATGTGCAACACTTTCGAATGAACTCCTGGAATGACGTGACACATCAAACAAAGGTTAACCATCACCCGCCTAAATGCTCCAACTATATTGTGGGAAAATCATACACAAGTATTATCCGGTTTTCAAACGAAAAACAGTTGTGTCGTCTGAAACTCAGTTCACGGGGTGAGTGCATACCTTCGAGGTTAAAATGTTTAGCAGGAATGGTGATGCCAAGCAGAACCATATGCATTCAAATGCTCGATGGACGACAAAAGTAGTGCCGAAGTCGAAATTCCGATGAACATAACCTATCCGGGAGTCGGCAAATTTGGTTTTAACAGACACACTGGCCCTTCGAATCGGTCTTATGTAAGGTTTAAACGCAAGAAAAGTTCTGACTTTGGAAGAGTATGTGATCAACACTTTACAGGTGGATGAATAAATATGAACCCGGCGACACTCACAGCCGCATACGGTGCACGTGGACAGTCTAGAGAACGGCGCGTCTAAATCTTGATGATAAAACCGATAACAGTGTACTCGGATGTCAGAGAAGGGATCACGTTCGATACGATCTGACAATCATCAGGAGAAATGAGCATATTAGAAGTATGGTTTGGCCGCATACAGCTTCGGCAACAGCAGAGGTCAGCTGTTCCGAAATGCATCACTCTAACTTGGAAAACCGGACAATTACAGTCACCATTCTACATGTTTACTTGCTCCACGACCAGTCAAGAATTGATATCACAAATGCACTCGCATTTCCCCACATAATGAATACGGTAACAAGTGCTTTCGCACCTCTCCACATTCCGTCTCCTATTCGTCTAGATTATATTATACACAATCTGTGGTACAGATATTGTGCCATCGGAATCATGGCTGAATAGGAAAACAATATGAATAATAGGAAAAGAGCAACAAAAAATGCTTTTTTGTCAAGTTTACCACTCACAGCTTTTGAAATTTTTTTTCTCAGTTTATTCGATTTATTATTCTCTTTCTCTTCTTTCTTTCTTTCTTTCTCTCTCTCTCATTTCTCTTTCTCTTATTCTCTTTCTTCTTATTCTAGATTACACTACTACATCGCTAATCCATAAAAGTACCATTTATGTGACAATGAAAAGCCGGTGTAGCTCTACCGGCAGATGCGTTGCATAGAAGTGCGGGGTCTCGGTGATGAAGTTTCCTTTCCGCCTTGACCCCTTTCTCGGGGCGAGTTCTTGTGATTGCATATATGTCCCCAAAAATGCGAGAGCAGCTAGCTGCTAGCCTACTCGAGGATGCACTCTGATATATCGACAAGTACTCAATGTTGTAGCAGCACGTGTGAAAGACGGCGCGAAGGGAAGATCGGGGACATTTGTGTTGATTGAAGTGGTTATCAAATCGCAAATGATCCGATCCCATAATAACCTCAATCTTCGCAAACCTCAGTGAATGGCTCATAATCATCATTACACACGTTAGCTAGAGGTGCGAAACACTTCAGCTACTGACACGCTAAAGATTAGTTAAGTAGACTTACTTTAGCGCCATCGCTGACCTTAATAGTAGACGGAAAATTGATGTTCCGAGCACGCAAAATGGTGTGTTCTTGTAGAATATCCGACTGAGATAGGTTGTTGCCGAAGGGCTGTGAAAGGGTAAACAAGGGTTGAGACTGAGCCTGAGACCGTATTTAAGAGCAATTAGAAAGTTTCTGTACAACTCTGTCGAATTACGAAAAATCAGAAACATTTAGTTGTGAATCATCAGCGGTTGTGTCTGGTCCGTTAATCGTTTATCCTTGTTCGGTTAGGAATTTGTACTAGTGTCATTATTTCCGGGCATACAATGTCTTCTTTTGACATTGTATGTGCATAGTTTCAGAAAAGCACAGATTTCCGAAATAATCGTCGATACGAGTTTTAAAACACTTCACAGAATCGGCCTCTATTAATCCTTCTGGTAGTGTACTCCCTAAGTTTACGATTCTTCGTTCGATACAAAGCTCATGTGATACTTTGTTCATGATGGAGACCCTGAGTTTGTAACGGTGTCCTCGGGGGTTACAGGGTTCCCGCAGGTGAAATATTAGCCGCAGTATGGGGAAGTGATTTAAGTGTAGTACTCGATGGGTCATAATAAGGTCAATAATAAAATTAAAAAACGTCAACAATCAGTGCTTTTAGCTTGTCGGCCATTCGGTTAACTGCCTGTAACCGCCGGTCATAAATTTATTAGTTGAACTGTAATCCAGGGTCTAAACATTAGAAACGAATGACGTGGAAAAGAATGCGTAGCACCTACACCTAGATAGACTTAGAAGAGAACCAAACACAGCACAATTCCCCCCCCCTATATATATATATATATATATATATATATATATATATATATATAGTCGAGCCCGCTTTATTGCCCACCGTCAGGATATTTCAAAAGTAGGCAATAAAGCGAGGTGGGAAATTAAACGATATTGCTTTAATTCTAAAAGGGAAGGAACCACTGAATGATTGTACAGCATAGCACTTGTATGGTAACCTGCTAAGAAGGATAAATTGCATACTTACAATTAAACCCTACAAAAGTTTATTCAGAAGAGCATGACCTACAATTTAAAAAGTATAACATAAAGCACTTTACACAGACAGCTATAGAAACAGGCTAGGAAAACAATCCGACGTTTGTTGTATATTATTTTGAGCTGTTACTCTAGTTACTTTTGCACTGATGAATCACAATCTGGACAAAAATCGTTGTCTAGCCTATGCAAAAGTCCGTATTTATACAGGTCATTCATACAATTTTTGCTCTTGAATGCGACACGCGTTGATTGCTGTTACTCATGGAGAGATCCGGCACGTAATCCCGTGAACTGTTGCCTTATTCCTGTTCTAGTCGGTTCTCTAAAGTTTGCTGATTTTATCAACAGTCGTCACATCTGAAGTAGATACCACATCGTTGTCAAGGGCGACGAACTCTTCCGCATTGATGACTGGGATTTTGAAAGCGATGATTTTGTCGTCAACGATGACGGCGTCATCGGAAAGGGCATCGGATGCCAATCGACTGAAGTCAGCATGCCGAAACCAAACTTTCATTGCTGCACCGGTAACCTGTCTCCAACTTTTTGAAACGAAGTAAATTGCATCGAGCACAGAAATTTTGGCGCTGACATCCACCGCGGACGACAAGCCAGATAACACGTTGTTTTCGATGTGATAAAGAATCCGGTCCACAATTTTCATGATGTAACGGATTTTCAGATTCACAAGTACACCTTGGGGTCCATGGGTTGAAGAATGCTGGTCGTGTTTGGTGGCAAAAATTCCATCTGAGTGTTTTTCATGCCTTCTAACTGTGGATGCTCTGTAGAATTATCCAAGAGCAACATAATTTTTCGGCAACTTTGGTCTAGCTCCTTGTCCCACTAGAAGACCCAAACAGTGAAAAGTTTATTCGTCATCCACGCAATTTTGTTAACTCTAAGTTACGTGAAGTGTGTCCACGATCATGCCATTAAAACATCGTGGTTTCTTACTTTTTCCAATCAAAACCAGTTTTCTTTTAGCCGTGCCTGATATAATCGCGCAGCATAGGAGTGATCCTATTCATGGATTTTTTTGATTCCCTGGCCTTGTCGGTAGAAAAACATCAAGAGCCATCTGGAGTTGCTCGGTAAATAAGATCTATTTCGTTCGCATTGTACACATTGTCATCACCAAATGCATTTAAAAGTTCAAGCAGTCGATCTTTCAGCTAAATTTCACAAACTGTTCTGTTCGCGGAACGCTTCTCATTATGCGCACAGTTTAATTGTTATTCTTCCATCTTTGCAACCATTCTTATGTGGCAGCAAAAGTTTTCCTAAATTTTTCTTCAGAAGCCAGCCCGTAACTTTTTGGTTATGCTCACGAACCGATATCATCCAATATGTCAATGCAAGTTCAATTTCTTCATCCTTACCACATCGCTTCCTTTTTTGAGAGCTTGTAATGCCATGAGACAAATTATGCCGGAGTTCCATTTTGCTGGTAATCAACCTGGCTAGGGTACGACGAGAAATGTGTAAATCATGCGACAACTTGGCGTGCGAAGTTCCTGGTGGATAAGTTTTAATTTTGCCCACAAGGTTCAACTGTTCTGTCAAGGACAAATCTTTCCTGTTACTGGCCATACTTGTGGGTAACGAATAGAGTACTGACAAATGTGGAGTGGAAAGAGTACCAGACTTTGCACCGTCCTCGAGTTCTGAATAGGGCACAGGGTTTGCTCACAGCCGTCTGTACATTTGGCTTGATCGCGTATTGAAGGACGCAGGTAGGCTTTTCTGATCTGTCAATAAGGCCGCCGACATCTTTGTTGTTCTTGACTCGGTTGGACTGGCTAGATGTGGGATAATCCTAATTAAAGATAGTCAGAGCGAGGGCGTAAAATTGACCAGCGACATTAGCACAGTTCACGTAGCTGGGCAATTAAACGGTGGGGCAACTCCGACAATGGGCAAGTAAACAGTGAAGATTTAGCATATGTATGAGAAAATAATTGTATTTTGAAAAACTAGGCAATAAAGCAGGGTGGGCTATAAACAGGGTGGGCGATGACGTGGGTTTGACTGTATATATGTCTGTGCCATGGCTGTGACTTACCTTCTCTCCAAATAAGCATTGGAAGAACAGCACACCAACAGACCAAACGTCCACCTTGGAGGAGATTTTCGGTGGTTTAAGTCCGACTTCAAAGCATTCCGGTGGCAAATACCAATAGGTGCCCGCTCCTTGCGAAGTGAGATCCATGCCGGTTTCCGGATTATATTCATCTTCGGTCATTATTTTGCTCAGACCGAAATCGGTAATTTTGATCTCCCCGGGGACCTGGCCAGAGACCAGTAGAATGTTGCCTATAGAGATAGGGTATAGATGTAAATCACATGGATTAGGTCACTCTGACCCAATTAAGCAGCAGGGTGTCAGAGTTTCTCTCACAAAACATAAATATCAAGCAACAAACACCAATTCATTCGGACATTCACAGTGAGCATCTGTCATTGACAAGGTAGTAGAACAGACTCAAAAAATGTGACCGTTCCTGTAGGACGGTGGCGAAATACTAGTGAAGGTGCGATGCTTTTTAAAGAGTGAAAAGTGTTTGATTAGTGGCTACTGACAAGCGTCATTCCCATCTTCAAATAGGGCCTCAACCGTCTCCAAATTAATGGCATGCGTCGTGCTGCGGCGGCACAATGATTCACTTGAAAGACGAATTAGTGTAGGCCAAGTTAGCATGCACTCATGTAGAGCGTGAATTGGCAAGGTTTTCTATTCGACACCTACACCAGCATAATCATCCAGTTATTGTAGTCTCCAGTTGCGAGGATATCAAAAGATCCCGCAAAAAGACGCACCCGCGGCACAAGCTCTAACACACGAAGTGTGGTCATGAGACTTCCAAACAACAAAAGCGGGCTTTCGTGGATAACCTTTTCTTCGTCATTTGTGTTATACATAAGAAGGCATCCCAACTTGTATCACCTTTGGCTGTCAGTAAAAGCGCCCATGCGAGATGTCGTTAAAACTTTCTCTCTCTTTCTCTTTCTCTAATCTATGCTGCGGCCTTGAGGTCACGCTCCCCCCGCATGGGCGCCTCACGCAGTTGGCAGGGTTTTCGTTCATCATCTTTACGGCTGCTAAAGTTCGCAGGGCATAATCGGTGTGAATTGCATACTCGTCTACTCCATGAGTGGGATCGGTGCTTAGCGAACGTCCTTGGATTCGTTCAAAGAGAGGGGCATGCAACACCTCTCTTGAGCTGGAAGGAGCATTTTGTTTTGTAAAGATGCCTCGTCTATAGCATTTCTCGCAAAGTTGCATAAAAAGTCCAAAATTTTGCAAAAAAAGCGCAAAATTTTGCAAAACCCTGTGCGATTCGCCAGCCGCTCTGAGCCAATCCTCTGACCTTAAGTGAGTTCGCATTGGCCGGGTGCTAGGGTTTGATGTGTAAGTCAAGTGAAGTAAGCGCACTGCATAGTGACTAGGTGAGACTTGTGAATGAACATCGAGTCCATGGACATGGGCGGTGCCACGAGCTACTATGCGCCCCCTCACGTCCGAAACGCTGGATCACAATTGGTCTGCGAGCAATGAACGGCCGGAATGTAAGCGTACGACTGAATGGAGGTCTTACATTCCAGCGTGGTCATCATGCCTTCTCGTGTTTGAGAGAGTATCGCGTTAGACATTCGTGACCGAGTTGTGGATGCCTTCGTCAACGGTGACGACTGGCAGCTAGTCGCAACCGTGAACAATGTGAAATATCAAACTGCCTACTCCTGGGTTCGTCGTTCACTTGATCAGAAGCCGATACTACGCATGAGCGCGGTCGTAAGCGCATTCTGTCGGAGGAAGAGATTGATGACATCCTGGAGTGGATCACGAAGGACGCAATTCTAACACTGCACGAAATACGAGTCCGAGTACATGCCAATATGGTCAAGAACATTGTAAAGTCTACAATCGCACGATACCTGGGTGGCCATTTGACAACTATGAAGAACACCTATCAGACTCCAGAAGGAATGAACAATAATCGAACCAAAGCGATAGGAAAGGAGTTTGTTCGAAAGTTCCTGGAAGTTGAAAGTGAGGGGAAGTTCTTCATATGGATCGACGAATCAAACTTCGACGAATACTGCATATGTACTCGTGGTCGGGTTCCCAGAGGAGTGTGGGTCTGTGTCAAAGTAGCCGACAGAGACCTGAATTTGCATCCCATCAGTGCACTCATAATGGATGGAAACGTTTCGACGACTACCCGAAGAGGCTCATTCATTGCACTCCTATCTCTCGAATAGTTGCGAGGCATTCTACACAAGCTGAAGCGGGAAGTGGAGCTCCGGAAGGTGGTCGCAGTGTGTGACAATGCACCATGACACTCACGTTTGGAAGCATTTGCGTCAGTCGAGGGATACGAAGGGGTTACTATTCTGAGATTGAGCTCATACTCCCCGTTCCTCAATACCATCGAAAATGTTTGGCAGGTGGTGAAAGCCCGAGTGAAGAATGAAATGCGAATGCAGTACGATGAACTTCTGGCCGGGGATCCCCAAAAACTCATAACGCAAATGGAATGGAGGTTGCAGTTTCTGGAACGCATTGCCAGAACAGCAACCAGTGAGATCAGTGTTGTAGGATGTCGTAATGCAGTTCGACACATCCGTGTACATTTTTCTGGTTGTTTGAAGAAACAAGGAGGCGCTTTGATTACATTTCCGGCTCATCACTTTAGACATCTGATTGTATAGCGTATATCACTAGGAGCAAGTGGAGACACTAGGAAATTCAGTTGCGGTGAAATAGGTATATACGTACGTACGGTTATACATTCTTACGGGGGTTGCAGCGATATCTGATGTCCAGAGTTAGACAGTGACATGGGACTTGCTTCCAATGAGACATGCGCGAGTGATATTTGTAGTGTACATCGTACTGGTGTGCATCGCGCGTTACTCGTTCGCGGAAAACCTTAGACAATGCAGATAGGGTTTCAGAATTCCGAAAACCAGGACGTCGGCAAAGCGAATTACCGAAATACTGTTATAGAAAAGCACCAAAAAATTCACAAGGGATAGATGTAGCAAAAATAATTGATACGCAACTCATTGCGCGGACAGTAAGCCACCGGTAAGTGGACGAGTGTGATATTTACGTCATTGTGATGTCGGGTCAAAGTGCACTTTAGACACTGCTAGAAATATCCAGTTCTGCATTTGGGGGAACACTGTAGCGCCCAGGACAAATAGTGCGCATGGTCGCGTCCCATAACCGGTTTGGCCGCCGCGTTGTAGTACAACCGCACGAGAGCACGAGAAATGGATTCACACCTAAATACGGGTGCATGGCTTGCAATTATGATTTCTCGTGTATCTCTGTTGGTTTTCGGTGAGCCAGTGGTTAACGATTTTGATAGGGACTACCATGGCCCCTGATCGTGCCTAGCACGTAAAACCAGCAAGGGCGAATGGATGCCGATTTAGCGCGCGGCATGATGGCAAATGTGTACTGTCAGAGCACGTAGGGAATGCACAACTTATGTTTACCACGACTGCTTCGCAGCGTTATCAGTTCAGATATCGCTGTTGTTGCAGGGGATATGAACATATAAGTGCGTTGTTTGGGTTCTTCAGAAGCTCAGTTAGGTGACAACTATGGGCTTAACTCCGAACGGAAGGACAACGGCGAACGTCTGTGGTAACTGTGCGCGGACAACAGCTGTCTCTTAGTAACGCCGCTTAAAATCACAGTGGGCGCCGAAGTGCCACTTGACGTCCCATGATAGCTGGTCAGTGATGGGCCCAAATAAATCACGTTGCCATGAATTGCTGCAGGCATGGTTCCAATTTGGATTTCCGCTCGAACTGGAATACCTGCGTCGACTCTGGTCATGCCTAGGTACGCCGTCATTTTCCCATGAACTTTGCCGGCAGGCGTATCAAGCACTTCCCTCGATTGAAAAATGAGAAGTTATCACAGCTCTGAGTCAGGCAAGCCTACCCGGATGCGTTGCGTACTAACGTTCGCTCTCACACCCAAATTGCAATGAACTGCACTAGAATGGGACATCGGCCGCCATGCACGATGCGGGTGTCTCTGCTTGCTGCACTGGATATCCAAGAGGTCGGTGAACCTGTGGGAATCTAGAAATCTCCCTGTTGGTTCTGGACACAATGTAAGAACACGGACTATTAGGCCCGAAGTAAAGCGGAGGCTGCATATTAAAAAGGAGACCTGGTGGTCCAGCAGGGCCCAAGAAACTGACGAGGCTGGAGCAGTAGGCAATTGTCGTAAGTTCCTCCAAGTCAGGGAGACAATCAGTGACAGCGCAGGTGCACTGATTCACAATAAGGAGCGCTGTATGGCTCATGGGGCGAAACATATTGGAGAGAAGTTTATTTGGCCCCCTACTCCCGGAACCCTTCCTACTCGGATGATGTGGGCTGAGCTATGGACGGTTAGTTTAGAGGCTTCACCGGAAGCTGTGGTCCTTAACGTAATCGCAGCCATTAGTGGTTTGCGAGTTGCAAGCCCGCATTCTCCCGCACCTGCACTATTTAAAGATGAACTTTGTTGGAACAGACCTGAAAAGAAGAGGCTATCCCGGCTAGCTGGAGTGAATCGATTATAGTGGTAGTATACAAGATTGGCAGTCGCAGAGATTGTTTTAATCACAGGGGTAGTAGGCTAACTCCGGTGGTGACAAAACTACTAGCCTCAATTCGCATTCGTCGCCTGACTGAGGAAAGGGAATCCCGGATTAGTGAAAGACAAGCAGGCTTCCGCCTAGTACATGGAGGACCAGGAGGCTGAGTCTGTCTGGCCTCTAACCATTGACCAATCTGGTATGAGTGGCTCTGAAGGTGCAAAGAAGCATCACCCAGCGTAACTCAATGGACCTTTGAAGCACGCAAACCATCGCACCAAGTTAAGGTCCAGCTTCATTGCGATGGGATGGACATCCAAAGGGAACCACAGACAAAACACAAAGAGGGTAGAAAAAAGTACAAACATTTATGGATTAACGTGAGATAGTTCACGATAGCACCAAAACTATGTAAGATATCTCGTTGAGCTCCGCATGGGAGACAGTGGGGAGTTGAATTACCTGGTTTCAAATCATAATGAATCACTGGAGGCTTTATCTCGTTCAGATATCTCAACGCAGAGACAACCTGGCAGATGAGACTTTTGGCCTCGCGTTCAGGAATACACTTGTTCTGCTTGAGGAAAAAGTCGAGATCATTGCCTTCGATGTACTCCAACACGGTACAGAAGCTGTGATGAAAGAACACAGTTAAGCGACATTTAAATGTCTGGGAAATTATAGCCTATAGTAGACATGTAGGTGGACTGTACATCAAGCCCTAGATACTAAAACGTCGGGGCCACAAAAGGCAGTCATTGAAGCGGAAATGCGAAAAGAAACAGCCACTCCAGGTATGAGATAGACTGTGTGGTCTTTTGGAACAAATGAAGCGACTTCATCTGGTTATCAGGGTCAATGGTACATCGGGAAAAAACCGAAGCTTGACATGTCCCGCCGGATAATCGGTAAGCAAAAGATTGCGACAAGAAATCGTGATCAACCACGAATTTCCAAGTTGTCGGTTACAGTGTTCCCGGTCTAAGCAGTCCACACTTGGTATTATTTATTATCCTAGGTGATTATCTGGGGCTTCCAGGCAAAAATGGAAGTGAGTTGATGTGTATTAGTTTTTCTGCTATTTGTGCGGATTATTCGAGTTAAGTGATATGGTGTAGTACGGTCAGTGCACCGTCGAAACGAACTTTGACTACAGTTAACATGGAGGTTGAAATAACAGCGTCTGAGAGAGTATCCCGTGCGTGGTCAACACATAATGAGAAGTTCGTCTGACACTACAACCGGTTGTATTGTCCTGCCAATTTGGGACGGTGACCTCTCAGACTGCTGTTGATTCAGCTTCGACAAGTGATGGCACGGGTGAATAGGGCCGTTTATAAATTGAAAAACTATGATTAGACCAGCACGCAAACGCCGATAGGATCCGCTGAAAATGCTTAACACTCTGAGGCGCTGTTTGTATGACAAGTGGAATAACTCATTCACATTTCTGCTTGCCCGACGTTGCGAAATCGCCAAGGCTCCAGCCATGAATGCCATCCTTGTACAGGATATTCAACATGTGGGTGAATATAAGAGGGAAGTAGCTGGCGGAAAATAGTAACCGTTGACGCACTACTGGAAACGTACGAAAATTTAGAAAGTCAAAAATCATCGGATTGTGCGTTGACCTCGTCAAGCAAACATAAGTCCAGATGTGACCGAACACAACAAATATGAGCAAAACTACGTAACCATCAATGATCAAGGAGGACAATTCGCCTCTGATCTATACAGTAACACTTGACTTATGGTGGCTTCGTACACCTGGTTGACGAGCTGATTTCCCCCAATTCCCCAGATGATTGAAGCAAGAGAAAGATACACCAGCTTTGCTGATATGCACAGCAATCTATTCATTGTAGTGACTACCAGAGTTGATGCAAATAATAAAGCCAGTCAACTTGTCAACCACTTCAGTATACAGTATGAAGTCGGCTAGAAGGGGCGGTGACAGCGCAGCCTAGAGACAGTACCTTGCACTTTGAACATGCAAAGAACCAGCCGAGATGTGCAGTACTCTGTGACAAGCTATCCGGGATCTAAGGACAGCTGATTCCCGCGTATCCAGGGTTCATCGATTGGTTAACAGAGATCATTTTATTCCGCAAGTAGATGAGAAGATAGAGTCATTTTCTCGTTTGACGCAGAGTAATTGATGTTAGGTTGTAACTGAAGAAAAATATCTGTATAAAAGTCATTCCACTATGGTTTGTTAAATTCTGTAAATCGGCTACATATTCTGTGTCAATTTGGCGCGTTTGCTTTCCATCAAATTTTACGTTGGTTGTTTGATATCCCCGCTGCGGCTGCGCTTGATGTGCATGTTGACAAGGTGTCTACCCTTCTAATACCCTCCACCTCGATCACTGGCTCCAGAAGACTGTGAATAGTTGCTGAAGGGGACGGGGTGCACGTCCTCGTGGTCGTGCTAGACTCACAGAGTGGTTCCATGCACTCATTGTGGAGCGGACTACGGCCCAGCCACCGTCTTGGTACGCATGATTCCCTATATAGATAGACAGGAATGCTGCTGCTGTGCTGTGTGAGCTTGCTCTGTTGATGAAACATGGCTTCCATCCACACGCCTCCCGGTCTTATTCCTTCGGGTTTACACTGGATTTAGGGTGTGTGGATGGAGCTATGAGTGGTGTAGTGCAAGCCACCCATGGTCCATCTGTAGGCATAGGCCTCATGTGGTCGTCCGATGGAGGTCACAGTGACATGCAAATGCAGAACCGGGTGCCGCCAACCATATGTGACAGTGAACCGGGTAAGCTCGGTTCAAGTTGGCAAACAGGATCCGCAAAGACAAGTCGGACAGATTCTATTCCATCCAAACAAAATAATCCGATAAGGAAAACATCGTTAGAATGAAAATGAAAAAGCAATTTCTGGATAATTCGGACAGAATGACTGGCACAAAGAACTTCCAGGGATTCCTTAGTTGCGTCAGCTTAGGCAGTGTTACCAACAACTGATGCTGTCGAAATTGGATATTGAAAGTAATGTGACGTTCATGTTGCATAAATGACGTCTGTATTTGCTTACGTAAACAAATGTTTCGACAACTACTCCATTTCAACTAACCAGTGGAGTTGTCAAATAGCAACATTAATAACAACAGTTCGAAGAGAATAGACAAAACAATGGCATGGTCATATGGAGCAGTGAATTCAGCAATGGTTTATAACAGGTATAAAAGCAAAGGCTTGACAAGTCCCGTGGGATGGTTAGGGCGAAAAGTACAAGATACTAAACAGGATCGGTAAAAAAATCGCTCCAGATGCATGATGCACCAAGTGGTTTAGATTAGCACAGGTGCGAATATTCCTGCCTGGAGTTTGTGGGGCTTATGATACCGTCCACTATTTGTTCTGCACTTATGCCATCATCTGATGGTCATGGACTTTATCATGTGGTGTCCGCGTGTCGGGGGTATCGCCAAGGCGTTTTTGGAATAAGGGTAAGGTAAGGGTATTTATTATATGCGCCGGAAAAGGGCTCCAGGACTGACATAAAGGGAAAAATACTTGTGCCGACATTCCAATCGGCTGTACTGCGTGGCCAAATTAAAATGATGATCACTTAAAGATATTTTCGAATGAGTCTCAGAAGATAATGGCAAGTGCGGTTTGGGTTTCCCAGGATTTGACACATCACTGTAAGATCTCCCCGTAGACGCCGCACAGTTTTAGTTTCCAGCTTGAGTGGATAGGGAAGGTTGAACAACCCTTGACGTTCTTCGTTGCCCTGCGTTGTGCAGGATCAAGTACGGTGAGGTTGTGCTACTGCCAGGGTTTCATGCTTGGGTAGCGTGTTCTGCGTGGGGCCTCACGCGCCCAGCATTTGCGGAAAGACTGAAGCGTTGAACTTACCGAACGCTCTACGAAAGAGGCTGAAGTGCTGGTTTGCTTTCCTTGATGCCTTTTCGGTCTGTCTCAAACACCCAAAGTCATCTTGTAAGAGCACGCCGAGATCGCACTCATGAGAAGCCCTAGCCGGTAGTTCTGAGTGCTCTAATGCCGTATGCTCAGAATTTTGCACGTGGTCGCATTGAACTGGAGCATATCCTCGATAGACCATGTATATGTATTAACCAGATCATATTGTAGGGCTGTGCCGTTATCCAATGTAGTGATAGCACGGCATATCTTTAGATCAGTTGCGAATGGTATAAAATTTGAAGATAGCCAGGAAGAGGCGAGGCTCGAGTACCGAGCCTTGAAGTACGCCAAACCGCGAACCATTACATTCAGGTGACGTTGAACGACATAGTCGCCTATCCAACCAAGGAGGGAATGGCCGATTCCATAGTTCTGAAGCTTGTGAAGTAGAATGCCGTGGTCCATTCTGTCAAATGCCTTCGAGAAATCCACATAGGGGGTATCTACTCCTACACCAGCATCCACAGATTCCGTCCAGCATGCAAGAGCTGTCAGCAGTAGAACAGAACCGTCGCTGGCGAAATCCGTGCTCCTCTGAAGTGAGAATTTTGTTACTCTCCAGGTATCCCATGAGTGCTTCGGCAAAAATGGACTCCATGAATATGGAGATCACCTGAAGTAGTGCTGTCGGGCGATAATTTGCTGGTTCTGCACAGCTACCACTTGTGTAGACTGGAGTGAGGGTTCCCTGCTTTCAAGACATCGCTACTAAAAGTTCAGTTAACCTCACGGCAGCTACACACAAGGCCAAGGTATGTGTGAGAACTGTCTGTACCAGGCGAGTTGTACTCGCGCAATGACATCAGCCGCTACAATACATCTTTGGTTGTAAAGGGTATGTGATTAAGTCCCGATGGCAGATTGATTCGCGCAAGCAGCACGTAGGATGATTGCACGCTTTGAAAGGTACGGCTACACTGTTGTCTAACAACGTAGACCGCCTCTTTTGTCATGTGCGCAAATGAGCATACTGTGTGCAGAGCAGGGATTCGGCGTTTAACACTGTGAAGTTTGTTTACATGTATGTATAGCAGCTTGGGCTTAGAGCAAAACGTTAACAAAAGGTTGTGTTGGTACTTTGTTGTATCCTCGAGGACGAGTATGACGCAGTGGTTCGTGTGTGTCTTATAAATGTCACAGGTGCCTTCGCCCAGAGAAATTATGTGGGCTAGCAAAGTTAGGTTCCGTAATGACATGCTCTTACGAGTCCTGCTTCTTTGGACTTTGGTTTCAGATGTGCTTACCACTAGCCTGTTGCAGCTGTCGACAAATTCCCACAGGTCACCTCAGGGGGCCACAGCTAGGAAAGACCAGCTTGTTACACCATTGAGGTCGGAAAGATCATCATATTTGACTACGACGCGAGATTCTTCGGTACCTTTTTTTAAAGATATTCTGCGTAGCACATGTAGCGGAAGATTAGCATGATCGCTGAGGCCCGGAAAAATGCACGTTGTTTTTACGTCGATCATGAGTTCCTTTTTCGTAAAGACGTGGTCCAAGATGACCGATTTGTTTCCTGTCCTGAAACACATTGGAGAATTGGCATGATTGTACAGCGATGAACCAGCGATTAGCACTTGCAGTTCCACCTTGATGTGCTCGCCAAAAGTTGAAGTCCCCTACCAGGGAGAACGGGAATGCAAGATGGTGCCAGTTAGTTCTTCCTAGCCGAGACTAGGGCCTGAACCATTTCTAAAGTGGACAATGGGAAGCGGCATACGACGCAAACTAGGCATATATCTTAGGTATAGGCAGCACTATAAGGAGTCTACGGTGGGATGGTGTACGCAGTCGGTGCAGGTCGGAAGAGCAATAAAGAATTACACCGCATCCCTTAGTGGATCGGTCGTTGAGCAAGAGTGAGGCAGCAGGTAGCGCGACCTCGATGTAGGTAATCACGTCGTTCAGCCATATCTCGGTAGCCATGATGAGGTCTCAAGGCTTGACGAGATTGAAAGTCGGCCAATGTACTAAAAAGTGCTTGTGCGTTTGCACACAAGCAATTGAGAGCTTCGGATGCATGAAGCGTATCTGAACACCCAAACATCTCCTGAGAACGTACGCAAATGCAACCAACCGTCCCTGCATTACTGACCACACAGGCTAATCAAGTGAATTACGGGGAGCAATCAAAACGTTGGCGAGTCTATTCCGTTATCCATTGATGGTCAGAAGTGAATTGACCCATAAGACCAAAGGCAAGCGACACGAGCAAGCGCAGTTCGGTGACCGAAGGCGTTCGCTTTCAATGAGCAACCTGAGATCAGGAATGGATGACAAATCAGTTTGCCGAAACGTGTCATTACGAGAAAATAGAACTCACGATTCTTGGCCAATGTCAAATACGTCATACACTTTCACGATTCTTGGGTGCTCGAGAGTTTTATGAATGTTGATTTCCCGTGCAACGTGTCTGGAAAAGATGGGGAATTCAAGGTGGGCTCAGTGTACCAACCACAAGGAGCAAACCAAACAAGTCTACGATCAGCGGTCATCGTTTGCTAATTGTTTCGATGAGAAGCTCCGTGACATAATCAACAGGATTATCGCCGCAATGTGTGTAACAAGACTATAATGATAAGAAATACTGGAACATTGGGGATGAGAAACAATTACTTCAGTAACATCTTTGTCTACATTGATTTGCCGTGGTGCACAGCCTAATAAGAATTAGTACGCCAGTTAAGATCCAACTACCAGGCACTAGTAACCCGGGATGTAAAGTTTCAAGAGGCTGTAGCGATGAGCAAGGAAGATTTAAAACAAGATAGGCGGTGAGGTTGACGAAAACAAGTGGTTGGAGTGCAGTAAACCTAGCTGAACAGAAAAGAATAAAAGAACGGTGTTGCTGGGTCTCAAGTGCACTATAACGGAGCAAGTGAGGGTCAATCTATCTGAAACAGGAGCTCGAGAAAACACGGAAATTAAGAAGTGTGTCTTCAATACACACGATCTGGCGTATCAATTGGTCAATCAAACCAGTCGACAACCTTGCCAGCATGAATCGGAGAGCGAAGTAACACCGATCTGGTGTGCGCGTGAACACGTCTAGCATTGCTGGACTTCGTGACAAAAGTGCTTCACATACATAATTCAGTGAAGTAACTAGACGATAAAATCCATTGAAGCCGCAAGTGAAAGCGGTTAGCGCATGCAGTACTGAATATAGAGCGGCAGTGAAAACGGAAGCTTACTTCATGTAGTTTTCTTTCTTGTCTGTTGACCAAGCGGTATGGAGTTGATGAACTTTACATGCGACATACCGGTTTTCGACAAGGTCGTAGCCCTGCGAGTAGTTAAAGAGTGACAAAAAATGACAAAATGACATCTTGGGCATATCGACCTGGAATGAGGATTGTTGGTGCTATTTCTTCATAACGACATTTCTAGTCAGAATAGAATGGCAATAGTAGCAGCAGGATGTCGGCACCCTGTACCGACGCTACGTCACCATGCGACCACCACTGCGAAGACGCCCGCCACGACGCGGATTCGAACCGGTGATCTAAGGATTGCCCGCTTGGGGTGCAATCCTTTCGGCCATCGGTAGACATAGAGTAACAGCAACGTGCCTACACAAAATGCAAACGGCCGATAATCACCTAGGCGGATGAAACACACCAGGAATAAAAGGTTATCAACAGTTCACAATGTGATCAAGTCAAGGTTGTGTGATAACGTTTCAACACCACCGTGCGGAAAAGTATGAACAGTGAACACCCTACGCAAACAACTGAAAAGGAACAATCGCAATGAAGAACGAGTAGTGCTGACAGCGACAGGCGGCGTTATCATCATACTTCGCAAAGGAACAGTTGCATTGTAAAGTGGAGTTATGAAGGCGACTTGAGATGTTTGGCCACCAAGTTTAGCGTATCCAGAGGGCAATATTAAGCTTTAGGTCTTGTGAGAGGGTTTCCTTATGATGCACCGACCATTTCGGCTGCAACACATTAGTTGGATCGATAAAGATGGCAAATTTCGTGAAACGGTTGTTAAACGGATTGAACGCGCAGGGTCAGTAGTTAAAATCAGACAACCAAACAAATTACCAGACGGCTTGTGCGGACGCACTCCATGAATTCAGCTGTCAGCCAGTTAGCGCTAAGACTAACGAGTCACTTCGTGAGGCCGGTTGATTCAATCGGGTTGTAGTTCGGCGGATGTTGTCGTGCTTTCGACGTCCATCCGTGGTTTACCAAGTCGAGCTGAGCCTGACGGAAAAGCCAAACTGGTGTGTGTGTGTGTCCAAAGTCATCCCCTATTCAGTGAGCAGGCCCAGCACAGTGATAACTGGTATCGGAAGAGGCGTTACAGCTACTGTGACGGTGCTGGGCACAAACGATGACCATGTATAAGTCTAGTGCATGCTTCGCAGTGCTTTACCATGCCACCGTGTGCACCAAATATTTCGACCCTTGCAATCGGCAGTGTTGCTATACTTTTTCGAGGATAGCGATGATTGTGGCTGCAGTGAACTCCACCTTACAGGCCAGTCTATGAGCCGTGTAAATTCGTATGGAACAATAATCAGTCTGCACAAGTGTCCGACTAAACCAAAGTTGTATGAAGCCAGTGAGGTGTTAGTATTACCAGTTTCTCATGTGAACACTGTAACAAGAAACTTCGCCCGCTTCCCCGGTGACCCACAAGTGGACAAGAGCACAGTTACGGTGAATTAACAATTGCACGATCTGCCTCTCCGACGATCAAGACGTAAGGCGCTCACCTATGTAGGGCTAATAGTACGATAGCTTTGCCATTTCGACAAAGTTTCTTATATCATCTGCATACGGAAGTCAGTGAGGACAAGGTCTAACGAGCTGCGCGTTGACACTCAACCGAGTCAATGGTACGATGTGTACTGGAAGAGATAACTGGTGTTCTCAGTGCACAATAACAACTATTGTCTAAGTAATTCGGTTGGAATTGCTTACGAGGTAGAATATCTGACTTCTCTACAATTCAAAAACCGTAAAACGATAACAGGTGATTATAAAGATATTAAAGTTCGTGAGTCAGATGAAGTGGCGTTGCATGGGCACACCGGAGAGGTAAAACTTGACTGTATACACTCGTGTCGGGAAACAACAAGTTGACGTATTCGAGAGATTCCCTTATGTCAGATATAAAAACAAGCACATTTATAAAAATGTGTGATGGCTGCACACATGTGAATATAGGTCACTGTGTCACTGACACAGGGAAACGAAGTCGAATGCGAATTTCGGTAGTGGTAGCGGTGCATGAACTAGGCACATGGCATGTGGACGACTTTGAAAATGTCCATAACATCAGCGGACTGTATGCAAAGTAATAATTACTAAAGTTATAGAATTCAACACATCCGAAATCTACGCTAAATGCAAGCTCTTAGGTGTCAGTGCAAATTTCCCTATCGCAATGAGGCTGGACCTTACCTTGGTGCGATGGTTTGTGTGCCTCAGTGATCCATTGCGCTATGATGGATAGCGCTTTTTTGCACCATCAGAGTCACCATGCCAGATTGGTCAATGGTTAGAGGCCAGACAAACACAGCCTCCTGGTCCACCAGGTTAGGGGTTGGAATGAGGATGGCTCCTTATTCCTTAAAATGGACTCCTTGTAGCCCAACACCAAACCCGCTGCCTTGCGGTCAGGTTTTTGAATCACAGGCTTTGGTTGAGAACCCTAATCATTCTCCCGTCTAGGCCTAAATAACCTGACAGTATTCTGCCTAAGCAATCTTATGAATCCCTCCTCAGACAATTTCCTGATGCTCTGGCCACCGCAGAGGATAATCAGTGGTGCCCTATCTGCTGCATCGAGCAGGGTGGATAGGGATTTGGATGACACTGCCCAAACCTGCCCGTCTTCTTACTCCCTATTTTGTGCTTTTGCACCCTTATTGTCCCGTTCCAAACTCACTTTTATCCCCCTGTTTTCAACCGCCCAATTATTTTCCCTTACCCATCTTGCTTTGATAGGCGTTTGCCTTCTAGTTTCAACTCACATGTGAACGTGCAGCGTTATTCCTGCCCTGTCAACAAACCCATGTCCAAGCAAATGATGAAGTCCAGTTCATCGGCTACTATTTGGAGCTCACGATCCTCCTTCCGATTGGCATGCCTCAATGTACGCACACAGGCCTAGAAGCACATGCCTACAGGTTGCCATTGCCCGAACTTTAGAGACCCTCTCGATCGATATCTGCTGCTTATCAAAGACCCGCCTGCAAGACTCCAGCTCTGTGCTCACTCTGCGATCCCCTTCAGGTGACGCAAGCAGTGTTTTCTCATTGCGCCTATCCGGTGACGATGCAGCTTCGAGCACCGGCCAAGTCGGTTTTGGTATTGCTCTGAAACCCCGGGCTAAAGCTGCTCTGGTTGATTGGATTCCAATCAGTAGCCGGATGTGTGCGGTCAGGTTGGCTGGCTCGTTTAAAGCTCCGAAGTCGCGCGAGACTAATAGGGGTCTATACATCATCGCTGCCTACGCGCCCACAAACTGTAGCGATGATTCGATAGAAGACGACTTCTACCGCCAACTGAACGAACTCCTTCGCCACAGAAGGAGCACGGACACTGTTGTGCTGGCTGGGGATCTGAACGCACAAGTTGGATTGTTGTCCACTGATGAAATGCATCTGGGTGGTCAGCACGGTGTACGCTCCCGTAATGATAACGGTGAGCGTTACTACATTTGTGTGAGGATGCTCGCTTATTTCTTGCGAGCACTAACTTCCAATATAGCACCCGTCAGAAGGTGACATGGTGCCCACCAACCATGGACGCAAATCGATCACAGTGCAATCAGTTACCGCTAGAGAAGCTGTATCCAGAACTGTCGCTCGATTTGGAGCACATGTGTGGACACCGACCATGCACTTGTATGTGCTGACATGCGAATGCGTTTTGGCGGACGCCCACGACGACGCTGTGAGCGCATTGACACCAGCCAACTGACAAAGCTAGCTGTTCTGAATGCGTATCGAAGTACGCTGACATGCGAGTTGAGTAAGCGCCCATTGGAGACAACCGAAGGTCACTGGCCGCATGTTCACCAGACCTTACTAGCAGCAGGAAAACCCTTATGGGGTAAATCTAATAGACAACATGAACATTGGGTCTTTTCGCGTTCTCTGGAACTTATCGATGCGAACACAATGAAACCGGCAAAGAGCTTCACGGCTCCCTGGTTGGGGACGAAAAGAGGATGAACACGTTTGACTAGACACACTTGCTGACATGGCTAGGAGCCGACCTCAGTGGCGTTCCTGCTGTGAGCTTATTTGCCCCTCCCCATCGCTTTTTGTCTTCATCACTAACCACGATCTCATTCCGTAGCATAACATAATTTTACATCATAATTTCTCTTGTTGCCTAGTAGCTGGCTGCTAGCTTTCCGGAACGATGCCTATCCGTTGCTGGTAGCTCAGCTGGCATGCAACTGTTGTGTTTATTTTCTTTTTTTCTTTTATGTATTGCTGCACAGTAGCTGTGTTTTACACCTAGCTAACGTGTATAATGTATGTAGTGTGCCCTATGCTGAGGCTGATGTTGCATTCTTGATGCTTCCTCACCGTACCTGGGCTAAACCAATTTACACTTAAACTAGGTCTTTTTAAGCTGGATAAATTTCATTCCACTTTATTTGCTTTGTTCTGCCTACCTGAATAACCTTATATTAACTGGCCACGTTGCTTACGCTAATTGCGCTTGTCTTCGGTAACTTTGTTGCGTTTGTAACATTTTTAAGTAACCTGTGGACATTTCTTACTTTTCGCGAATTCGTTGCTAACCAACCAATAATAACCAATAACCAACCAATAATAATAACAATAATGTGTCAGCTGTACGCCGTAACGGCGCTTCGCTGCCGCGCTACCACCACCAGTCGCGCGCGGGCTGAGTATACCGCGAAGACGCCCACTCCTATGCGGATTCGAACCGGTGACCTTATGGTTGCAAAGCAAACATGCAGGCCACTCGGCCACGGGCCGACTGCTAACCAAGTTACTTCATATGGTAATTTAGCGAAGAGTTATGCCACCGTATCTGTATTCATTATTGGATCTATTTTATTTCATCTTGTCGTTTCAAGTGAATGGCTGTTGCTTGATATCCCCGGTGTGGCTTCGCATGTTGACAAGGTGCCTACCTGTCTACTACCCACTACCTCGTTCATACTGGCTCCAGGAGACAGTTGGTCGTTGCTAAAGGGGACGGGGTGCACGGTCCTTGTGGTCGTGCAAAGCTCGAAGAGTGGTTCCATGCACTCAGTGTGGAGCGGACTATGGTCCAGCCACCGCCTTGTGTGCACTTGATTCCCCAAATACAGCGTGCTTGTGTTTGCCTGTGAAGGAGTGTGGGCCGGCTCCGTTGATGAAACGTGGCTCCCATCCACATGTCTCCCGGTCTTATTCCTTCGGATTTACACTGGATATGGTGTGTGTGGATGGAACTGTGGATGGTGTAGCGTAAGCCACCCATGGTCCCTCTGTAGGCGCAGGCGTCCTGTGGCTGGCCACAGTGACAAGCAAATCCGAAACCGGATGTCACCAACCACGTATGTAGTGCAAATTTTCATGAAGTGCAAAAAGGTTTCCCTCTCACTAGAGCACTTTAAGCAACAGTCTGACATACATTCGCAATTACTATGTGGCACCAACTGGCTGCGAAATACACCCTTATGTTATTAATATGCCATACATTACGCTAGTTCACTTGGCCTGACAAACTTTTTGAGCCAAAAGCAAAGCATCCTTAGTAAGCGATAATTTCGCGATCCATTCCAAGTGTATCCCAAAGTATTGAAGAATCAAAATAAACAGGCAGTGGCCTACCTGAGAGATGTCGCAGCGAATGAAGATAGTTCAGCTACTTGAATACATTAAACCCAAACTTCACAGAGCATACACTGTACTAAGTAAGACGCACTCCGTCATCAAAAACTGACAATGTCTGGTAGTAAGCTTAATCCATACGCTTGCTCTCTTCCGGCGTTTAACCAGGACACCAATTTCTAGACGCCGACTTAGAGACGGAATCAGCGCACGAGGTTTGGACTTCCGACCTTCAGTCAATATGACTTAGCTAGCCAGTCTAATGAACCAACAAGTATTAATGGAGGGTCCTTTTGAAGTACACAATGTGTGATTGGATTGCGACGCGCAATGTAGACCGTGATATGCACTGAAGTGAGTCTTGGTCCATTTGATCATTAGGATCGTAGCTGACAAAGCAGAAAGAAATTGGGCGTTGCCCGTCCGAAAACACCAACATGTATGTAAGTGAGCCGGATGTCGCCCCACTGCACATTAAACTCCCAGTAGGTCAAATACCTATGCGGGGGTTAAGTTAATTCACGTGGGCCACTCAATACGCGGTAGCACAGAAGTTATGAGAAGTATGATGATAACTGTCACGATTCCTGACTGATCAGACTATTCAGTCGCCCCGCACTGTCGTGGTATATATCGTTTATTATTTATTACTACTGATGGCGTTTGTGGCATGAGTGAAGTGGGCGCATGTGTATGTGATCGTAACGCACGCACACTCTTGTGGTCTCAATTCTCGTGCAACGACCTGTCCGATACATAATATGATGACGTCATGGAATAGCGTGTTAGTTGGTGTGTTCCGTGAGTACAATCGCTTTGGTTTGCCTTTAGAATACAGACGGTCGATAAAGGGAAGCAGAGAGCAAAAGTGTAGTCATTCAGCTATAATCAATGGGTGTCTTAAGTGAGTTGCACCTCCACCAGGTTGCCCATGAATTAGCGAAAGCAAATAGGTAAAGCGTATGATTTATTAATAACAGAAATTCGGCCATATTGATGGTCACGATAAACAATGTTTGATCGCTCTCTACTAGAGCTGCTCTTGAAGAACTCAAAAGTGGCAGGGAAATCGACGACAAGTAAATCTCATCTACAACTTACTTTATGGACCTCAGAAAATCCGCCCTTACCGAGCAGATTTAGAAACAGATAACGGTCGTGTAAGAGCGGATGGTCGCTGAATCGAGAAGCCTCCTCATTAATGATGCGTTTCATTTCTCGCACATGTAACAACCTTTCCCGCTCCAACCGCTCAAAGTCCATTTGAATTTCCTTCTCCTCTTTCGACAACATTTGCTTCCGTAAATCGAAAAGCTCTAACTGCTGGTAAAACTCGTCCACAGAGACCCTGGACAAATGAAAAAAAGAAAAATGTTAGACAAGTAGCAGCGACAATACGGAGATTTCTAAAAAGTATGTGGGTGGACCTACTCATCACTCCTCGACTTTGAATGCTTTTTTCCCTCTCCGGCCAGGGGCTTTCGTTTGTACCACTGCTTCCTACACCTCTCAATTTCTTCTCTTTCTACTTCAATGTTCTTTCTAAGCCTGAAACGCAAGGCAAATGGGGAATGTGAAAACATCGGTTGACCGTATGTTAGAAACGACAGGCCGAGTAGGATGCGGTGAAGGAAGCACAAAAAACCTGGCTAAAACGATAGAAAGTTGTGCAATATGAACCGCCAACGAGGCTAATGGCTTTTGACAGAAACTGAGAGCTAACTCGGAGTAAATGTCTGTTGAAGACCGTGAATGTGAGCTTAGACTGAAACCTGATACATCGTCCCAGACACTCAGCGACCCAAATAGTTCAATCGACTGGGAAACGTTCCGAATGTGTGCTACAATCCGCTCACCAACCCAGTCGGCGTGATCGTCCCTTTGAATTCGATCTAAGAGATATAATCTCAGAGGGCCTTGTGAACAGCCGGTTGTTCACAAGACTTTCTGAAAGGAATAAAATGCTTCCGGAAGATTGGAATAGTGAGAACAACCTGACAGTATTGACCAAAAACGCAGTGTGGATCTTATCGATGCGGTAATGGAAATGCGAAGGAAACGACTGAAGCCGCTTACTGATCCAATTCTTTGAACCGTGAACCTTCGACCCACTTCTCTTCAGTATTCGCCCCCTGCCGCCGGACGACAAAATGCCCCAATCTGAGTCGATTCTCCGTGACCTTCTTCCTGGTGGCTTTCTTTTCCAAGACGCTCTAACAGGTGGAATCCAAATGATTAGCAGAACGAGGTGATACAGAGGGTAGAGGGCTGGCATGCGGTGGATCTACAGCGTGATGGGTGTGAAATGCAGAGTAAAGGAGGCACTAATCCTAAGGAGACACCGATTCCACAAAGCGTGTGAGGGTCATCATCATCAATACACATCGCTCACAAGTGAGCAACAGCTGTTATTGTGCCTCAATACAATACAACCATATAGCTGTAAAATAGCAATAAGGCATAATAAAGCGTGTATACTTTGATTCTGTTCCGCGTCAATAATGGGATTGAGATTGGGGAGTGTGTAAGTGGGAGGAGAGGAGACGAAGAAAAACACAACACAAATGCCACTGAGGTCGGCTCTAGGCTATTCAAATAGGGTTGTTCAATCAAAATGCTCATCCTCTTTCGGACCCAAATGCAAGAGTCAGGAGGCACCAACTGAGCCCAAGTTCGAATTGGGAGCTCATCTGCCTACCTACCAAGTCAACAAGTCACCTCCACACATTTTTGTCAGCCAGAACCCGGTCCAGAAAGCAAAACATCGCGGAAGTCCGCGTACTGGAATGTCCCAATCATCGGAGCCTATTGACTGGAGTAAGGTGCCGAGGGTTCCATTTGCTCTGCCTGTCTGAAAAATAAAGTGACGAAATCGTTCAGATACTCAAACGGTGTTCCAACCGTTAAAGTACACTTGGCTAAACGCAGCTAGCCTCTTTATGTCTGTCACGTTACACAACAGTAGAGCATGGATGAACGGATGATAGCACTGGGGAAAATATCCTTCAGGGTTAGGGTGCTTTCGTGCTCGCCGTATGTGCGAGTAGACTGGACAGATTTAACAGAGCTATCGATCAAGTCAACTTAGCCGCTCGCTGCAAGGATGGGCTGGAGTATCAGTAATTCTGAAGTGGGTTCAAAGATGCCATAACTAACTGCAGAGAACAAAAGAAACAGGTCTCTGGTTTAAGTGTCCATTCGTCCGTCGAATGCAATTCAAGTTGAAGCATAAAGGTGTTCGAAAAGCCATGCCCGAAGTTGGATACCAATCGAAGCAGCATCGCAATACAAAACGATTCCGTTTGTTGTTTGATCTAGTACTAGTTGCATTGATAGAGAACGCAGAATTGCAAGGGCGTGAGGTAGTTATATTGCGAAAACAAAGAATGCTTAGGGAAGAATGAATGCGCAGGATGAACAACTGGGTTTTACTAAACAATCCTCAGAAGATACACGTGGCATCGCCCCCACAAAATCTCGCCTAGCAAAAATTAGAGGATTCGTAGTTGGGCCTTCAGTCTAGATCATATATAAAACATTCTAGTGGGCTGCCATCGTAAGCGTAACGAAGATTTCGAACCACTGAGGAGGGCAGTTAGGTGAAGCGGCCCAAGAAAGTAAATGCAGAGTAGAACTAATGTTTCTCCAGACAGACCAATTCAAGAAAAGAAAGCAGGGCTGAATAGAGAACTATTCCAATGATAGGGCCTTGGTGCGCTTCGCTTTGTTTAGCCAGTGCACGCATTGGGAGAAGCAGCAGCACAACCCACGACCGAAAGCGATATTGCACCGCACATAGGAACCCCCAATAAAAATAAACAAAACATCGTGAAGTTCTCAGATGACGGCAGGATGCCCACACAAGCTATTTCCAGTAGGCGGCCAAGTCAGAACGAGAACTAAACGACAGGAAACAGAATATATGAGTAAAAGCACTTAGGCACTTATGCGAGGACAGCAGTGACAATGTCAGCAGATGCGTGCGACTAAGCAAAATGAGAAGAGCTCCCGCTAAACGAGTGGCCCCTGTGCAAAACCACTGGAAGGGTGTAGATAAATGATAAAAACGGAAAACTAGATGCTGAGTGAACCATTTATTCCAGAGGCGCTACCTGGCTACATACCCGGTATGCCCCACAGCCTCAGCGTTCACTTTCTCAGATTCAGCAAAGTACCAAGTTATGTCACCAGATCATCATCATCAGTACACACGTTAGCTGCAGATGGAAAACACCTCAGCTATTGTGCCTCAACACAAAAACAAGAAGAAAAAGAAAAAACAAAAGGGGCACAACGGCTAAGTCCCCAGTAACGGATGGGCATTGTTTCGGAGAGTTAATAGCCGGCTATCGTGCCATAAAAAGAATTCTATTATGCCTAACGAATGAGATCGTGATTGGAGGGGGAGGCTAAGCAGGAGGGGGATGGACAAAGGAACTCACAGTACAAAAGCCATATCAGCAAGTGTGTCTAACCAAACGTGTTCATCGCCCTTAGGACCCCAACCAGGCAGTCGGGATGCACCAACCGAAGCCAGTTTCGAAGTGAGGATTTTCATTTCTCTCGATCAAGTCATCGCTCAGACTCCCCTTATCTTCTTCCATCTACACTGACGGCGTGTAAATGCACGTCGTGGGAGTCGATGCGCTGGCATACACAACACGTGGCCTAGCCATCGGAGCCTGGTGTGTGATATAATGGTGCTGAGCGGTTCACTCGCTCTTTTTGACCAAATATGCGACGCCGAACACGCTAATTTCTCACGCGGTGCTCCCCCTAGGCATGAGCTAAGCTGCTGAGGCAGCGATAATCGAAGATGGCTAGCCTCTTTATGTCTATCGACCTGATGGACTAAGTGCCACAACCGTATAAGAGCGTTGAATGGACGGCTGCATTAGAAACTCTGCCCTTCAGGTCGAGTGTGATGTCGCGTCTGCGCCACAGATCGCGGAGATTGGCAAAAGCACCTCGACCTTTTGCTATACGGTTCGTAAGCTCAACTTCGATCTCAATGGCGTTAATACAGCTGGCCAGGTACTTGAATTCCTGAACGACTTCTAGATGCTCACCACCAAGCGTCAGCGCAGGAGTGAGTCCCTAACAATCTTGGAGAACTTTGCATTTCGATGGAGCAAAGCATAGCCTAAAACAATTGACAGCCAATGCTAATCCATCCAGTGCAACCTGGCAGGTTTGAGCACTGTCACATATGAGGGCAATGTCCGTATATTCCAAGTAAAGAAGTCGCGCACCAGGAAGTAGCTCCACATCATCTAGGTTGTGTAAAGCGAACGCTGTTTCTATGACTTTATTAATAGCGAAATTAAATAGGAAAGGTGACAGCTGGCAACCTTGGCTCACATCGCTGGAGATACTGAAGGGCGGTGACAGTTTGCTATCAACCCTCACCCTGCCCGAACTACGCGCGTACAGCGCTTTGATAATGTACATATTTCTCGGGCACACCTTTCTTGACTAGGCAGTCCAAAAAGGCATACCTATTTACCGAATCGAAGGCACTTTTTATGTCGAGAACCAAGACAACGGTGGGTCGCCAATAAATATGGCGGTGCTCCAACGACCGACGCAAAGTGAAGATGTTGTCGATGCAGCCTCGATTTCGAGGAAACCCGGCCTGCTCTTCGCGGATCTGGCCTTCATGAGCGCTAGCCAGTCTGTGCAGAACGCCAGAGGCAAGCAATTTAGAGGCAATTAAAGTCAGACTGATCCCTCTATGGTTGCCGCATTCCGAACGGGAGCCTTCCTTGAAAACTGGGACTATGACGGAGCGGCTCCAGTCTGTCTGGACAGTTCCTGCTCCAAAAGTTCCAGTAGCAACTCGTTTAAATCATGCACAAGAGCAGGTTATCCGAATTTGTAGAGCTGGGGGAATTCTATCTGACCCTGCAGACTTATGCAATTTCAACAGTCTGATCTAACCTTCGACTTCTGCGGGTAAGGGCGAATCTAAGGAGACGGCCCGTGAAGAAGGGCACTCAATGCTCGAAAGAGAAAGTGATAACTCAGGTTGGTTAAATTGTCTTGCAAAAACGTTCGGCCCAACGCTCCAAGTATTTTGACAAGGTGTGGATCGGCTGTCCACTCTCGTCGCGTATTGTCTCGCTAACACCAGGTCTCTTGCTGCCTATTTCCCATATCAGACGGAATAACTTACGATGACTACCAATGGCAGCGACTGTTTCCATTTCGATGCACGATGAAACCGCCAGGCTTCACGGTCTCACTTCAGGTAAGCACGCAATTTTGCCCTGAGATTTTTGCGAGCCTCAATGTATTCGCTCCCAGCCGGAATACCTCGGCGAGCGTACATAAGTTCCAGAGCCTCTGTAGAGACACAATGTGCAGTTTGGCAATTTGATCTGCCATATGAAGACATGCCTACTGATAGTAACGTTTGACGAATAGGCGACCAGTGACTTTCGACGGTGTTCAGTGGACGCTTAGTCAGCCCAGATGTCAGCGTAGTTTGATACGCATTTAGAACACCTGGCTTCGACAGCTGGCTGGTGTCAATGCGCTCAGAGCGACCTTGCGGACATCCGCCGAAATGCACCCGCAGGTCGGCACACGCGACAGCGTGATCGGAGTCCACGCTGGTGCTCCAAACCGAACGACAGTTTTAGACAGCCTCTCCAAAGGTAACTAATCACGATGTGATCGATCTGCGTCCATGGTTGGCCCAAGGCTGGTGGGCGTCAAGTCACTCTTCTGCGCGTGCTCTGTCAAAAGTTAGGGTTCGCGAGATGGAGACGAGCATCTTCGCACAGGTGTAGCAACCTCACACCGTTATCAAAAAGTTAGCTGCCAGAGAAAGAAGGACCCATGACTTTTCAATTGTCTTACAAATGCATGAATTTACCACCAGAGTCAAACACGCGCAATTAATACGACGAAAAAATGAAGAACATACAGCTCTACAGACAAGCTGCAAAGCTAGGGAGCTTGTCAAAAAATTGCATCGTAGAACCAGTGACCACTCTTCTCTGAGTACCGAAATTGTTGATGCTCAGGGTCACTTACTACATGACCCAGCTGAAATCTGTGAAGCATTCAGCGACTTTTTTACCACTACCATGAGTCGCGAAGCTGACCCAAGGCCTGTGTGCACAGAGCTCACAGAAACAAACATCTTAAGCAGAGTCGATATCACGCTCAACGCTAACCATCAAGTTATCAAATCAATCGGGCCATC